ATTTGCACGCATTTTAGCGGGCAACTCGACGAGTCCATATTCCGGACTCGGCGAGTCCGCTAGTCTGGATGAAGCCCTAAATCTCAGAGTTTGTACCTTATTTAAACGTCATTATAGCCTCACATTCCAGCTTGCAGTACCTCTAGAGCATTTCCCATGTAAACCCTAGTCCCTATTGTTGAGCTTGAGTGTTTTTGTGCTAGCTTGGATGTTTTTGAAGAGAAGGATGGAAAGAAGATCAAGAGAGGAGAAAGGAGATCCAGAATCTAGTCTCCATTTGCTACATATTCTGGTAATAAAGTTAAAACCTTGCTTACTCTTCCATTAAACCCTCTTTTATGCTTTTTTATACTTCTCTTGGAACATCATATGATTCAAACTCGAGATTTGAACTCTCCTTTGGAAGGAAACCATAGATCTGGATGTTATTGAGCTCTAGGAGTTCAATGTAGCTACCTTTATGCAAATATAGCCTTGTTCCAAACCCTAAGTCCTTATTGTTGGATGATTTTAGTGTTTAAGCCCCATTCTCTTGTGCATGCACGTAAAGTTGGAAACTTTACGTGTAAAACCGTACTATAAGCCCAGATCTATGAATTGGATGCACTAAAATCGACTGTATAGTAATGGAATGCATGAGAATCGATGAGTCATCCTTTGGACTCAGCGAGTCCAAGGTAATCTTCTTGCCTCAAGAACAGACCCGACGAGTTGTTCATACAACTCGATGAGTCACAGACCGGATGAGTTCATATGATGAAGGAGAACTCGACGAGTTGTTCATACAACTTGATGAGTCGGATGAAGTTAGACTCGATGTTAGTATCGAAGAAGAACTCATTGAGTCTTTGCCAAACTCGACGAGTAGAAGTGGGTAGAGGATCAGAGAGAACGCTAGGGACTCGGCGAGTCGGCGGCCCACCTCAGCGAGTCCGTTCAACTGAAAGATGACTTTGACCAGGATGTTGTCTTTGACCAGGGGTAAAATAGTCTTTTTACCCTGAGATTAGTTAACAGTATTTGATTTAGTATTTATGGGATTTGTAGTCGGGGAGTTCCAGAGCAGCAGTCAGACGATTTCAAACTTAGTATCTCAGCATCCAGCGTTACGAGGTGAGTTCCCTTCCAGTAGGAACGGGTCTACGACCACAATGTCGGCCTGTTTAGATAGTAGTAGTAGGTATGCTTGATGTCTTCATGATTCATGCATGTTTTGTTATGTGTAGTATGATGGGCAAGCCCAATACAGTATGTGATTATGCTATATGTTCATGATATGTTATATCCAGTTTATTCCGGACTTCGGTCCAATGTCGGGCGGGGCCCGATGTATTGAGCGGCGCCCAAGTTATTATGGACTTCGTTCTGATGCTGGGCGGGGCCCGATGTAGTGGGTGGAGCCCAGTATTTGTTATATGTGTTATTGTATGGTATGAGGTAGTTTGAGGGAGCTCACTAAGCTTCGTGCTTACAGTTTCAGTTTTTGATTTTAGGTACTTCAGCTAGCAAAGGGAAGGGCTCGGGTTGATGGCATGGCACACACCATAGTTTAGCCTAGGAGATAGACTCTAACATTCTGATATGATCTTGACACTAGTTTTGATTTGATAAATTTATTATGACATTTTGAGATTTATGATTCATGGTTTTTTTATCTTTTGGTAATTGACATTATGGTTTAGTAAGGTTTTCAAACAAAAAATTTTGGGTGGTATTTTTGGGTCGTTTCATAATTTTTGGGGCGTTACAAAAAGCGTAGGCAGTTGGCAATTAATTTGATAAAAATGGAAGGTGTTCGGGTTACAAATCCTAAGGAAGTGAAGGATATTTTTGTCCAATTATTTTCTGGAAAATTTAAAAAGGTTCATACAGATGCTTTGTTAAATATGAGCAGTCGTTTTAAGTCACTTCTTCCTGACCCGGTGTCCACATTGGAAATTTCTATTTCTGAGAAGGAAATATGTGATTTTGTTTGAGAATGTGGTGCAGAGAAATCGCCTAGATCTGATGGTTTCACGTTTGCTTTTTATAAAAGGTAATTGGATTTGATTAAAGCAGATGTAACTGCATTTTTGACTGAATTTACTTCTAAAATTCCTTATTGGTAGTTCTTCATTCATAATCTTGATTTTCAAGGTTGATAGTCTAGTAGTGGTGAATAACTTTCATCCTATTCGTTTAATTGGCGCGTAATATACGATAATTTCTAAGATTTTGGCTAATTTCCCATTGTATTGATAATTTAGTGATTATTGAGCAGTCGACTTTTGTAGGGGGGTCGTTAGATTTTAGATGGTCCTCTAATGGTGAATGAGATCGTAGATTGGTATAAAAAGAAGAAGAAAAAGTTAATGGTTTTTAAAATAGACTTTGAAAAAACTTATGACACAGTTTTTTGGAATTTTCTGGAAAAGGTTATAATTTTTATGGGTTTCGGTCTTACTTGAATGTGGTGGATTCGAGGTTGTCTTTATTCGGCTAAGGCTTCAATTCTGGTCAATGGAAGTCAGTCAGCGGGGTTTCAACTTCAAAGGGGTCTTTGTCAAGGTGACACTTTGTCTCCGTTATTGTTTATCCTCCTCATGGAAGCACTTAATGTTGCAATTGAAGAGGTCATTGATGCGGGTAAGGCGACTAAGATAGGATCGTTGTATGTTTCCCATCTTTTATATGCAGATGATATGCGATTTATTGTAGAATGTTCACGGGAAAATATTATTTCTATTGTTCGGCTTTTGAAATGTTTCTATAAGGTTTCAGGTTTGAAACTTAATATACATAAGTCCAACTTATATGGTGTGGGGGTGAAGAATGAAGATGTATGTTCTTTAGCTTTTATTACGGGATGTAAGTGAGGCCAATTCCCTTTCATTTATTTGGGAATATATGTTGGTAGTAATATGTCCAGGGTAAATGGTTGGAATTTGAAATTGAAAAGTTTAAGAAGAAACTTTCCATTTAGAAAGCAAACATGCTTTCCATTGGTGGTCGTTCGGTTCTTGTTTCGTCGGCTCTTGGCTCTTTGGGTATTTTTTACTTATATAATTTTATGATTCCTATTCTAGTCAAGAAAAAATTAGAGTCTCTTAGAATAATTTTTTTGGGGGGAAAAGATAATAATGGTTCTCACCTTATGTGGATTTCATGGGATTTGGTTTTGGCTACTAAAGAGTGGGGAAATTGGAATTGGAAGTCTTGAGGCTTTCAATTTTTCTCTCTTAGAAAAATGGGGATATAGGTACGTTTCTGATCAAGATGCCCTTTGGATTTGTCTTATTACATAGATCCATGGCAGGTATGGGGAGATAGGGTGGAACTTTTTTCATGGGTTAAGGGTCAAGGATTTTGGGCTAGAATTGTTGGATCCATTAATACGATGCATGAAAAGGAAATTATTTTACACTCAACTTTGAACGTGATATCCATAAGATTTTGGCATGGTGTTTGGATTAATGACTTGCCACTTAAAGTCAAATTTCCTAGACTTTTTCATTTCGAAATCAACAAAGGTTGTTGGGTTAGGGATCGGTGGATGGATGGTTGGAATTGGAATTAAAATCGTGATATCAATAAGGGTGTGACTTTTACTCAATTAATTGAGCTTAATCAAATGTTGGTAGATCTGCAACTTTCTGAAAACAAAGATGTGTGGTATTGGAATCTAACCGACGTGAACCATTTCACAATCAAGGACACTAGAAAGTATATATTGATTATTTGAGTCTCCCGGATGCAAATCTTGAAACAAGGTGGTATAAAATTGTTCCTATTAAGGTAAATATTCTTGTATGGCATGTTTTGTTAAACCATGTTCCTACTAGATGAAATCTTAGTTGCAAAGGGATTGAGTTGGAGTTGTTAAACCGCCCTATATGTTTGGAAAAACCATAAGATGTTGATCATTTGTTTGATCATGTAAGATGTCGACTTCCCTGTGGAGAAAAACGTTTTTGTGGGTTGATGTTATTCTTCCTGAAAGAGGTAAACTTATTGACGTGTTTCAATGGCTCGATCTAAAAGATCTATTATGGAGGTTGTTATTTGTGTTGTCATTCAGGTGATATGGAAGTTTAGAAACGAGGTGATCTTTGGAGACATGCTTCCTCGTCGTAATGTTTTGTTTGATAGTATAGTAGATTATTATTTTTTATGGTATGTTTTTAACATCCATAAAATTCATAAAAATTTAAAACTTTTTCAAACATCCAAAAGCCATTAGTTATTATAAAATGTTTCCAAAATAGTTTCATATAAGAGAATCCTAGAAATAAAGATCATAGAATATGTAGAGGTGCACGATAAAGCATGAACCGTATCAAAATGAGAAACCGAAGATTTTACCGGTTCGGTTAACCAAACCGAAATAGTAAAAAATATCAGTTTGGTTAACCGGAAAAGAGGTATAGTTTTTAGGTTCAGTTTTTCAGTTTTCGGATATTTTGAATACCCTACTTAAAAGCAATGCCACCAATCTTGAATAATAATGAGTGTTATCACAATATCTCTCACTCATATAAATTTTCAAATCATAATAGTATATATAAACTATTTTACAATTACCCATAATAATATGATCTGATGCAGGATCACCAAAGGTAATCTCAACATATTTATTTATGAAGAACAAATCACTGAAATAGTCCCTATGGTTTGGCTAAAGTTGGGCATTTGGTCCCTATTTTTGTTTGGCACTCGGACCATCCCCACGTTTTCTTTTTATTACCCGCCTGGTCCCTGGGTCCGTTAGTCGTCAATTCCAACCGTTAAGTCCCCCCACGTGCTTCACACATGAGGGTATTTTCTTCACTTTATACATGGTGCCTAAATGCAATGTCAATCGTTTCTTCATTTTGATCATTTTACGATCACCTCCCTCTCACACACACACTCTCTCTCTCACTTAATCTGTAACTCATCAAAATCGAGTAGAAACCCTAACTCCTCAAAATTTTGCAAGAATCATCAAAGCAACAATGGTGGGTTAGAGGATTAGAGCAAACATGGAAGAAATAGACGTTGAAAAACATTATGGTAACCCCTTATTTTCAAAAGTTAAATTTATCACTTACAAATTTCAAGCTAATAAGTTGAAGCTTTCTCTTTTACAGCTGGTCATCAAACTATCTTCTCCATCAGATTATTCTATGGTAGAGAGTTTACAAAGTTTCCTGGAAGGAGGTACGTCAAGGGCAAAGAAAGATACGTTGATCTATTGGACATTGATGAGTTTTGTGTACACGATATTGATGAGATGATGGAGACCCTAGGCTGTGTTGAGGAGGGTAAGTGCTTTATTAACACTTGAAAAGACCCTTTTCAGATTTGGACTTTGGGTTGTTTGCATTGGCTAGTGACAGTGACATTAACCATTTGGGTACATATGTGGGTAAACATAAATTGATTGAAGTTTATGTTGAACATGGTAAAACAGTGTTGCATACATATACAATGTCATCTACCCCTAGTAAAGTTAGGATAGAATAAATCGTTGATCAACCTTCATGTAGTAGAAGGCTATTTTTGGAATGGAAGGAAACTGAAACATGGGATTGTATTGGATCAAGTAAACCAGATGTTGTGCAAAAAAAAAAATTGAAAGTGACCAAATTGATGCCCAATGTGAAACACAAGGTATATTTGATGAATTTGATGAGATTCTAAATGAAGAACATGGAGGGATTACTCATGAAAGTGGTAATAGAGATGATGTTGATGATAATGGTGATAGTGATGATAGTAAGTTCTTAGTAGACTTAGATAACCTCCTAGATGAACCTGATATAGACATGAAGGAGTTTTTGTTAAATATTGATGAATATATAGAGTGGGTGGGTGATCTTGGAGGGTCAAATGTCAAGGAAACAGAAACAAGGGAAATTGATGATATTGAGGTTGTAAACAATGAGGTATTCTTATATGAGTCATCATCTGATGAAGGTGGGAGCAACAGGAGAAGAAAATCAATTAAGGCAATCCGAAGGGCAATGGAAAACAGTGAAGCAAGAGTTAGTGATCCATTTTATGTGTACCAAAAATTCACCTCATCTGAAGAATTGAAAGATGCAATAAGACAACATATTGTGGAGACAAGGAGGGAACTAGACTTTATAAAAAATGACAAAAATAGAGTGAGAGCTATTTGTAAAGGTACTATCCCAGACCTTGGTCAACTTGATCCATGTGGGCCCAGTCAAAGCAATAAAGAAAGTGAAGAAAACAAGTGTTCATAGGTACTTTATGCTTGTACCTACAAGTTTTTAGCAAAGAAAATAGTGCAGTAGATTGAAAGCAACCCTACAGTCCCTACACGAGCTTTACAAGAACAACTTCAACGTGAATACCAGGTAGATATTTCGAAGATGAAGGTATTTAGGGCTAAAATGGAAGCATTGAATCAAGTAAGGGGCGATTATTCAGGGCAATATACTACACTACGAGACTATGTTCAAGAACTTCTCACTCCAAACCGAGGGACAACAGTTAAGATAGAGGTTGAAAGTGAGCCAAACCCAACTCTTGAGACTAGAGCTTTCAAATGGATCTACATCTGTATAGGGCCATTAAAGAAAGGTTTTCTAGCTGTTAAAAGAGATTACCTTGGTTTGGATGGGACTTTTATGAATGGGCCTTATCCTGGAATGATACTCACAACAGTGGTAAGATGTAAACACATATCTTGTGTCATTTTATTCCATTTTATTTAAATTACTAACTCCTTCACTATGTTTAGGGTCTTGATGGAAATAATTGTACATATCCTTTGGTATATGCTGTCGTAGAGGCTGAGAATATAAATTCATGGACTTGGTTCTTAAGGTGCATGGGTGATGAAATTAATTTGCAAGCTAATTCCAACTTTACCTTTATATCTGATAAACAGAAGGTAAGTAATTTCAATGGACTTGGTTCTTATTCTATATTGTATACATTACATCTAATATTGTTTACTTTTTGTACAAGGCTTGTTGCAAGCAATTGGTACATTGTATCCATGTGCAGAACATAGGTTTTGTCTGCGACACATTCATGAAAACATGAAGAAAATGTGAATGGGAAAGGTGTTTCAGGACATGTTGTGGAACTGTGCAAGTACAACAACATACAAGAATTCAACCATGCTATGGAAGAGTTAAGAAAGCTAAACAATGACTGCAATGAATGGGTCAAAGTTATTTCACCTCAACATTGGTCTATGGTACACTTCACAGGTTTGTTTTATTTTGTTGGGTTAATTGTTACCAAATGATTCACTTTATCACATAATTTTTTATTTATACTGTAGGGAGGGCACATTGTGATGAGCTTCTAAATAACTTGTGGGAGACCATAAATAATCAAATTAAGAAAGCACGCGACCAATCAATTATCACATGCCTTGAGTACATTAGAGAGTACCTTATGTTAAGGATTGTGAGTGTCCAAAAGGTAATTGATAAGGCTTTTGGACCATTAACTCCAACTGCAACAAGTGTTCTTGAAAGAAACAAATCTGATGCAGCTCAATGTGTGGGTAAGTTCTGTGGGAATGGAAAATATCAGGTGAGTGTTCCATGGATGGACCAATGTGTGTTAGACATGGTTTAACACACATGTTCTTGTAGAAGATGGGAACTCACTGGTATACCTTGTAAACATGCCCTTGTTGCTATATGGGACATGAGAAAAAATAAGCAGAATGTTGGCGTACGTGAAGAATGGGTTCATTCTACTTATTGGTTAAAAACTTGGAAGGAAATGTATTATTTCAAGATTGAACCAATTAATGGAAGAAGAATGTGGGGAAATTTTCCATGTCCATCCACTTTTCTTCCTCCCAATCATCATGTCCCCATTGGAAGACCAAAGAAGAAAAGAAGGAAGTCAGTTGTTGAATTAAAAGATATGGTGAAGGGTGGTAGGGCATCAAGGAAGGACAGGAGTGTGACATGTTCAAAATGCAAAAAGCTTGGTCATAATAAAAGAAGCTACAAAGGTCAAAGTGCATATGATGTTAGTTCAAGCAAGAAAGGGAAGGCTGGGAATAAAGCTAAAAGTGTAGGTGATGGTACTTCAATCAAGAAAGGGAATGATGGGAAGAAAGATCAAAGTGCAGGTGATGGCACTTCAAGCAAGAAAGGGAATGTTGGGAAGAAAGCTCAAAGTGTAGGTGGTGGTAGGCAAAGTGGAACTCAAAGTGCATGTAATGGAATTTCAAGCAGGACAAGAAAGGCTGGGAAGAAAGGGAAAAGTATTGCTTAAGTTATGATTGTGTTATCATATTTTGTGTTTGTGTTATGAACCAATTATGGTGTTATGATCTTTTGTGTTTGTTATATTTGTCATTATGTTTTGTGTCTGTGTTATGAACAATTATGGTATGACTTTTGGGACCTGTTGTCTATGTATGGTATGACTTTTAATGTATCTCTATTTTGAATTACGGTATGAACAATTAGTGCTATAATATGTTGTTATGTTTTTGTTTTAATTCAATTCTATTCAATTCAATCAATCAATTCATTTCTATTCAATCATTCAATTCAATTCCATCAATCATTTAATATTATTCAATCATTCAATTCAATTCCATTCTAATTCAATACCATTCAATTCTATTCAATCATTCAATTCAATTCAATTCCATTCCAATAGAAAACTAATCAATTGCATTCCATTACAAACCACTCAATTCCATTCCATTGTAAAACAGTCAATTCTATTTCATTCCATTATAAAATAGTCAATTGCATTCTAGTACAAACCACTCAATTCCATTCCTTTACAAACCACTAAATTCCATTCCATTCCATTATAACACAGTTAATTGCATTCCAATACAAACCACTCAATTCCATTCCATTACAAACCACTAAATTCCATTCCATTATAAAACAATCAATTCCATTCCAAAAGAAAATTGCATTCCAATAAACAATTCTAGTCATTCATACATTGTCATTCAATTACCTTACTGGCCCTAATGAAACAAAAGATAAATACCTTGATAGCATAAATTAAAGCTTGTAAATTAAAATTGACACAAAAAACCTAACTGAACACTAATAACAACCTCAAGGCCTTATTCTCGTGTTGAAGTTCATCCAATGACTTCTGCAAATTAGGGGAGATAACTTTTTTTTAGTTTTTTCACCATTAAAGCTGTCCTCATCAACCCAATCTATGAAACCACATTTTGCTCCCTACATTTTGAGTAATTTGTTTTGTGTTAAAGGTATGTGATATATAGATATACTTAAGAAGAAATTGCCCTTACCTTCCCAGTACAACAATAGAAAAGTCTTCCAAGGTTTTTCTTGGTAGTTGATCTTCGTATCACACCAACTTGACCACACTTGCAAGTTTTTTCCATTAGGGTTGATCGACTCTTCACAGAAGAGGAAATGAAAGACACGAAGAAAGGGCATATTTGAAAATAGAGAGAATCAGGGTTTAGGGTGTTCTAACAGATTTTTTATATAAAATGGCAGAAATACCCCTCATGTGTGAAGCACGTGGGGGGACTTAACGTTTGGAATTGACGACTAACGAACCTAGGGACCAGGCAGGTAATAAAAAGAAAACATGGGGATGGTCAGAGCGCAAAACAAAATTTATGGACCAAACGCGCAAATTTTACCACTTTGACACAAATTTTAAATTATATTAAAGATTTGGTCAGAGTTTAAAATTTTAGTTCGAGTTAAATTTTTTTCCCCAATTTTAGAAAAATAATCCATTTACATTATTTTCTAATTTTTTTTTCCAACTTTTATATTGTATCATATACTGATTTATGACAAAATTGTAAAAATGGTCCTATGGTTTGTCAATTTCTTTGGATAATGTCCAAAAAAGTTTATCAGCAAAAAAGGTCCATATTTTGTGGTTGTATTGTGGTTTTAGTCTCTACCTCGTTAAGTTTAACAACTTGTTTGTTAAGTTTTTGAAAATAACGAATTTACCCCTAAGAACCTATTCTACATTTTTATCTTCTTACCAAACTATAAGGATCATTTATGCAATTTTTCTTTTTTAATTTATTGAATTATTATACATAAATTCTTTTAATTAATTCTTTTTTTTTAATTTGATTATGGGTTATTAGATACTAATAAATATTATTTATAATATATTATATTTATATTTTAATAAGTATTATTTTATTATATTATAGTTTTTTAATTAATTTTTTTAATTTCTTCTTTATTGTATTAATTCTTTTCATTGGATTATTATATATTAATAAATATTAATTTTATTATATTATATTTATATCTTAATAAATATTATTTTATTATTTTTAATTAGTTTTTTAAAAAAAAAATTTATCGGATTAATAATTTTTTTATTACATTATTATATATTAATAGTTATTTTTTAACATATAATATTTTTCTATTAATAAATATTACTTTATTGTATTATTAATTTCTTTTAATTTTTTTTATTTTGTTAAATCTTTTTATTGCATTATATTTTTATATATAATAAATATCATTTTATTGGATTAATAATTTATAATGTATAATATTAATTCTTTTTAATTATATTGGTTCGACCACAAAGTCATTAAAATACACAAAAGTGTTGCATCTCATCTTCGAAAATCGGCGGGACAACCACCAATCACCTTCATCGATTTTTCGTCGGAAACCTCACCAACTTGTTACACCCAATGCCGCCAATAGCCACCTAAGACAACTTCATCACAATCCGTCAGAATCCTTTATATCTGCCAATAAGCCGACCATATTCTGCTACAACCACCAGGAGGTCCGATCCAAACACTCATGGTCAGCTCTTCCAATCGTTGCCTTCTACCACCATACGTCGTCGTATCATCTCGCTGAAAATCGTCGATCATCGTCTACTGTCGGCCATTCTCGACGAAAATTACACCGATCGATTACTCCCACAATGCGTAAAAAACCCAAGAAAACACATAGCCTTCAACCGATCATTCAGTACCGATACCGTTATCGATGTAGGCAATGTTAGATCGATGGTTTTCAAACCACCATAGCCACTACAGGTGCTGACAATGTTGTAGAACTTATTATTCGGTACTCGTTTGGCTGAATGCCGAGTAACAAGTACTAAGATTTGGTAATTCATATAGAAATATTTTAGGGACATTATATATATATATATATATATATATATATATATATATATATATATATATATATATATAAAATCATAAGTTTATTAAAATATATAACAAATTTAGATACATGTGTATATACAACAA